TAGTAGGGGAAAAAAAAAAAAAAAGGAAAGCAGAAGGACATCCAAGGATTTGCTATTCCACTCAAGTTATCCTTGAGACATTTTTATGCTTATTCTCAAATCTGAAAGACTTCAAAAACCACATAAGATTTGCTATTTCTCAGCTTTAACTGAAAGAAAAATTGGTTGAGAGCATCACATCAACTGAACACTGCGACTTAAAAAAACCCAAAACATCCACATACTTAAAGGGAAGAAAGTGAACCATGAATTAAAGGTTTTCATTAATTTCCCATTTATAATGCCTTCATCATATGGTTATTTTCTCTTGATGCTCACAGTTTATCCCTTCATATGAAGCATCAATGTTTTTACCTCAGATTTGAAAAGATATGAAAAGGATAGTGAAGTTTCTTCTGAATCCTTGGGTGGTACATACCTGCAGATTTCACTTTCATGAGTTTTTATAACCCTTTATCAGAATCAATGATCAAACAGTTAATAGAGAAAATTTCCATTTCTATTTTTTCATTCCATTTTTGGTACATTTTTTAGAATCCATAATTCTGCTCCACATTATTTGGAGGAGGATCCCTGAACTTCATCTTTCCTATGGCTCAAATGAAATGCTCAAAGGAAGCAATAAGAAATGTCGTGTTAAACAATTGTATCATAGTCTGGAAAAAACTCACTTATCACCATTTTAACGTACTATATTCAGATTTGATCAATCTCCATTTTCTAATGGGAAACAGGATTAAGTAAAATAAGTTACTGAGACTTCACAGTTTGTGGTATGAAGAGTATTTTTATCTTTTAATGTGATTATTTTCTGGAGCATCATTTGGTATGGCAGATATTTTGGATATACTTGGGATAGAAAAATGTGTGCTCTCCTTAGTGATGTTTTCAATCCCATGAACGTTTTCTCCACTTTTTCTTATGGCCAAATTTGGATCAATTTAAGGAAAAACTCATAAGACAGGACCCCTGTCTTGTTGCAAACCAGTACAAGTGTCCTTGAATAGTGAATATCTGCTGACTTTATTATTAGACTGCTTTCCTCAGCTTTGAATGGTCTAACCCAGCATAAATGGTTGGGAAAGGGTTTTTCCTCCAGGAAGGGGAAGGTGCAGAGGGAAGGCCTTTAACTGCCACTGTTTTGGGTGTTGTACCTGCAGAGTGCTGTACCTGAGCTGCTCTGGCAGAGAACATCTATAAATGTCTGTTGGGAGTGAAACATCTCCCAGGGCTGTCACTGGGGAAGAGGGAAGGAAGAAGGAAAAGCTGCATGTTTTGGGGTGGGGATAAAACCCACCTTTACCCACGAGTGGTATCTGGGGAGAGCCTGCTGCTCTCTTGCCTCCCAGTATCACAGCACAAATTCTGCTGTAGCACTCCTGTTTCCTCTGTTCATCCTGTGGACATGCTGGTGACTCGGATCCTTTCCTAGAGTGCTGGCAGCTCTGACAGCATCCCTGCTGGCGGAGCATCCCGTGCAGTTTCCTTGGAAACACGGCGCTGAAATGCCCTGCCAGGAGCAGCAGGGAGGAGACAAGGAGTGGAGACAGTTGCTTTGGGATTTTTTCCCCCTCTGTGGGAAATCTTGGATAACTAACTAATATGATTAAGTAGAAGTTGTTTATTGTATATATTATGTACTTATTTATACATTCTAGCTTTACTGCACACGCTGATCACGCATCTCTTGGTTGGTGTCACTATCTTGTTCACACATTCTGCATGCACTTCTCAGAGTATGTGATTGGTTACAGTCCAGGTGTTTCACAGCTCTCTGTTATCTAGTTATCTATCTCTGTTATCTAGTTCTTGTGGTCTTGGTATTCTGTTTCTCAGCCTCTTTCTTAATTTAGCACAATTTATGTCTTAGTAACCTTGACAAATTCCAGAGGGTGTTGATGAGAATAACTAGAAATGGTTTGGCTGGGGCACACAGTGGCCTAGATCTTGCAAATACTTTGCTACAGCCCTCCTAGTTCTTTACCTTCCAAAGCAATATCAAATATGTAAGCAACCTGGTCCAAGCAGGAGCGTCAGGGTGGGAGTCGGGCTGGCTGCTGGAACAGGCCCACAATTGTGATGTGGGCTGAAACAGTGCACAAGTGGCCTAACATGAGTGGTTTAGAGTCCAAAATTTATTTCTTGCTTTTCATGGCAGTGATCTTTGAGCTTTTGAAAACGTCTGCAAGATCTGTTGGAGTCTTGTGGTCACTTACAAGACTGAGACAGAGAATCTACAGGAAGTCCTACGTTATTTGGAGGAAAGCCCTCTCTGCTGCTGAGGTAGAGAAAGGAGGAAATGTTTTCCACCTACACTTTCTCAGTGCTCACCCCTCTTTGAACTCTATAAATTACATTCTGGAAGGGCAGGGTTTGAGCCTGTTGCTTACTGAGATGTCTGCAACAATAAATGATTCTAATAAAGAAACAGCTGGGTCTTTATTATTTTGATTGCCACTATTGCCAAGGGCACACAGCTTATTTCTGCTGCAGTTCCACAGGCTTCAGTGGAAAATGGACCAGGAAAAAAATGTTGTGTTCTTATGGTATTTACTCTGGTAAAATATGGGCTTCTCAAAAGATCTAGAAATTTCAAGTGATATCCCAATGTTTCTGTCTTTTGTCAATGTAAAGGAAACTGGACTGTTTTTGAAATCCCTGGCATTATGTTCTACCTCTTAGAAAAACTTTCTGAACTGATCCAACTTGATGTAGTGATTTTCATCTGTGGTGACAAATATTCCTCTCAGTAAGAATGCAGTATTATTAAAATAATTATCTTTATTAAAATAAAACTGCTAAATAATGTGTTTCTAGACCTTCATGTCCATATCTTCTTGCTGGTCTTTCTAATCTGTCTGCAAGAAGTTTAAGAAGAAATCCTCAAAAAATTCTGTGGGTAAAAGCTTCTTATATAATGATGGGCTTGTTAGTGTTAGGCGGTCCTAACTTACTGCAAAGCATTTTGAGAAAGAGTTCTAGTCTTAAGAAAACCTAGGACATAAGAATGGGTACAAATCCAGGGAAACCTGGAGCTAACCCTTTGGTTCAAATATACCTATAACAGTGTTACTATGCTATATTTGGTTTGAATTCAGAACAGCATTTGTTAGGCAATTGCCTATGGGTTCTTTGTGTTCTTTTGTCAAGTCAGACAATGGAATCCTTTTCCTTTTTCAGTCCCCAGTTCATTCTGATGGCAGATTCCTGGTCCCCCCCGTCCCTGCTCCTGGGTGTCTGTGCTCATGCTGTGTGATAGGGCAGCCTGGAATCTGTGTTGGAGGTGAGGGAAAGAGGGTAATTAGGGAACTTAACACAGCAGCCTGGGAAACTGCCACTCAGCCTCGAGTTCAGTGCCTTGCAAGGCTTCTGTTTTCCCAAATAATCCCTGACTGCACACAGAGGAGTGGGGGGAAACAGTGGGGTGGCAGAGCCGGGGAGCCAACCCAAGCTGCAGCTGAAGAGTGCTGGCTCTGCAGTCCTGAGGAGCTGAACAAAGCTCTCTGTCTTGCTGTGCCTTCCCATCCCTCCCACCCACTTTGTATTCCTTATAGCACTGAAATATCATGCTATAGAAAACAGATTCTGCAGGGGGAACATCTGGCTCCTTAAGGCTCAAGCAGTTGGTTTAAGATTTCGAAATGTTCTTCATCGTGATTTATTTCTTGTAATCATTTCTGAGGGACTTCTGAGAACAGGTCAAGGGGAAACTCAAAGTGGACTCCAGGTTTATGATTTTCTTTGTTTCTTCTGTTTATGTCTCTTGGTATGAACCTGATTTTTAGAGTGGCATGAAAAAAAGAATGTTGCTTGATGGGGAACAGACTGCAATTTGTGCAGTAGGAGCAGGATTTTGGGTAAAGGAAAGGCCTTTTAGGCAGAAAATACAGGTTGTAGGTGAGTGACAAGGGGACAAAATAAACTAAACTATCAAGTAGAGTTCATATTATAATAGGAATTTTCTCCCTCTCTGGCCATCCTGTAGGATGGATGCTGGCTGGTCTCCATAAAATATATATAAATGTAAATATTTTTGGTTTTTCCTAATACTGCTTTTCTTGGGCCTTGCCAATTGGTACACAGCTCTGAAGAAACAAATTTCTTACTCTTTTAGCCAGCTGCAACCTTCATGTACATTTCCAGCTGGAATTTCTCTGTATTATGGGTGTGTTTGTATTTATGCCTCCAGCTGGGGGCATGATCCAGTTACATGTCAGCTGCACGGGTTAAAACAAGGAAATAAGCATTTTTCCCACCCTTCCTCCCAAGGTCTGCCTCCCAGGACTTTCTCCTGCTCCTTGGCTGTGTTCAAAGCCCTTCCATCCTGCTCTGATGTTCTTTTTCTCTCTGCAGGCTTACCCTTGGTCATTTGACAGCACAAATCTCTCAGTCATTTGTACCATCCTTAAAAGCTGTGCCACAGAGGTGCTGAGCCTTGAGGGCTCTGGCTGGCTTGGAGAATCAATAAAATCTGTTGGGATTGTGTCAGGCTGTCCTTCCATGGAGAATCCCTCAGCCTGGCAGATGAGACTTGGATGGTCATAATCTAAACCAGAAACTTTTCCATCTGATTTTTGATGTCTCTTAGCCAAACCAAAGGTGATTTCGTTGGAGGACCAGCCTGTAGTTAGGCAAAAAATATTGATTTGCATATTCTGGCTATTTTCACAACCTTTCTGACATCTATTGCAGATTTTTCTTTCTTTCTTCTTCTGTTTTGCCTTTTAGCTATAAAAGACCCAAATATTGGACACAAAAGTTTTTGCCACTGAGAATGTGAGTGGAGCTTTAAAACTTGTGAATGATGTGATTCATGATCTCCAAGAAGTTCTCCTTATTCACTTGATGTGTCTGATGCCATAAAGGAATATCTCCAAAGCCAACCATTTTTCTAAAATTCCTTGAAACTACGTTCATTCACTGTGAGGGAATATAAACAAATACTTCAGCACTTGATTAAGAAATACAGAAGTATTGAAAATTCTTTTTTCTCTGTACAGAAACACGAACAGATAGAACAAAGAAGCTGTTTAGACACTACACTGTTGGATCCTATGACAGCTTTGATGCTTCAAGGTAAGAATTTTTCCTTTTGGTTGCAGTCTGTTTACAAAACCTTCCCAGGTTTTATTTAATTGCTACTTTTGGTTTAGGCTTTGGCGGGAAAGAGGGAAGCAGATCACTAAACAGAACTTCTGAGGGTACCATTTTACTTCTAAATTGGTTTTTATTGCAGTTTTCTTTCTTCATATGGGATGGATGTGGAAAATTCGGGAGCAGTGAAGTCATGAGTTTCACTGTTTTGTTTTGGGAGTGGTGAAAGAGATTTGTTGTTCTGAACAGTAACTTTGGAACCTGAGTAGAACTGAAGCTGCTGGAAATGAGAAATCAGATTATTTATTTATGGAGAATTCATGATTTTTAAGCAGGTTCTTCTTCCCCATGGATATATCTTGAAGATACAGGTGACTGCTGGTAGAAAGGATGACCTTCAAAACACAGAACCTCAGTTAGGTTTTGGTGTCTTCTTGAGAAAGTTTTGGTGGCATACTGGAATTATTACGCTTTCCTCCTGAGTGTCCAATTACAATTACAGCTTAGGTTTGTTTTTTTCGTTTGCAAGGAAACCACATTTATTGTAGGAGAAAAACTCTGAAATGTGTAAAGCAACGGCAGCGTTTCATGTGACACAATACTTAAAAAAAAAAAAAGGTAACTGTTGGTTTTGTTCTGTGATCTTAGACTTTGTTCTGAGGTTCAGACATAGCTTCTATGTGAGTTGAAGAATTTGGGGAGGGAGTTCCCAGTTGGACAGGATGTGATTGACCGGGGGAGTCTGCTGACAGTAATGTTGCTGAGAAAATCTGTGAGCCCATACTCTGAGACAAGCTTTGCAGAGCAGACTCAGTGGTTACTGGGGACATTTGCAGTGAGAAGAGTTGGCTTTTTGCAAGGTTTTTTGTGTGGTCATTAGTCTACAAAATCCATATCCTTGTCTCTATGTTTCACTGTGAATGGATAGGGTTGTTTCTGCAAAAGAGAGAAGCTGTGTCGTGCTGCATGTTGCTTCAGAGATGTCAAATAATTCTACTTGGAAACCTCCTGCTACTTTCCAACAAAAGTTTAGGGGTTTTTTTTTTTTCCATTAGGAAATATCAATTCTGGAAACCTCCTGCTACTTTCTAACAACAGTTTTGGGTTTTTTTTTTTCCATTAGGAAATATCAATTCCACCAAAACCTTCCTTTCCACTTTTTTTTTTTTTTTTTTTTTCCTTGCATGAGGGGGTTGTTTGTTTATTTCTCTCTTGTTTTGAAGTTTTTTTTCTAAAGGTATTGGGTTTGTCCAGTGCAACAGTAAAGCTCTCAAAAATATATATCTTACCTGATTCAGGACTGAGCAGGAGAGATAATCATGAAAAAAATGAACTTTTTACAGCCTTATATAAATTAGTTAGGAAGTGTGTCTGCAGTTGATATCTATTAATTGTCTGAGTAAAGAGAGGGACAGCAACAGAGTTCTCCTGACAAAGTTTGGAAGAAAACTCTCCTTGAGTTTCCACAGAGAATCTAAGACTCAGTGGCTCCATTTGGAAGGGTAATAGTGGAAATTAAGAGGAAAAGGTAGGAGAAGGCAGAATTAATATGAAATTCTAAGAAATGCAGTGGAAAGGTAGACTTGTTTAGGACTTTTTTTTCAGCAAAGAATAGTAAATCTAGAACTTTTGTAAAGTAACACCAGGAAAACTAAAAAAAACCAATAACACACCAAGTTGTGTTTCAGGTACCTGACTGAGGCTGCAAATCAGCTGTTTGTACCTCTGAACGATGATTTCACTGGTGCTTGTGCATTGCTGCTAAAGCAAAGAGAATTTGCATTTCAGAACCTGTCTGGAGATTAATGTCTCTTGGTGGTACATCCAGATTTAATTCCTCACAAGGGCTTCTTCAGGAAGGGGAATTATTCAAAGAGGCAAACAAGGTGTGAAAGTGAGAGCAATTTTTGATATTGCCAGATTTGTATTGCTTTGATTACTTTCTCTGTTATCATTTCGTATCAAAGTCGGGGAAGAATACATTAGAACAGATTTAATGCTGGCAGCAAAGGTTTCATAAACATTTGTCAGAAGGCAATTGTGCCTCTGTGCTAAGAACAGCTCTGAATCCAAAGTACTAACAAAGCTGATCCAGTTCCTTTCCAGAGACGTGTGGGGGAGTGAGGGGAAGTGTCTGCTCCCTTCCCTCTTTCCTTCTCCCTCCCAAAGGGCAAAAATTGCTGAGTAGAAACACTCTGTTCAGAAATCTATATTAATGGGCTTATTCACATGCAGGAAAATACATTGTACATGGCATTTTTCATCTTGAGGAAAATGTGCAGCTTGAGTAATGAAGGTTCATTAAATCCTATTTCAGCTTTGCATAAGAGATCAGTTACCCATACATTAACTTTGGGAAGATGGGGAGGATGCTTACTAATGTGGAGAAAGGCACTGAGACTTGCTTGCCTGTGCAAATAGTCACTAAATATCATACAAGTATTATATAGCATTTGAAACTACCAGGTCTGATGTATTATCTGCCTTAAATACTGATGACATGTCCTCAAAAAGGAAGAATTTCTTCTTAATGTCTGTCCTCTTTCAATTTAAATTCCCACTCCTTGTCCTAAAGAGCAGATACACCACTGAAACTGCAAGGAGATAATGCAGAATTGCTGAAGTGAACATCTCGGAAGTTTTCTGTCTTCCCTGGGTTTGTCAGCAGTTAATTCAAATGAAATTATTTGTAGGGCATAAATGAGTTAATTGATCAAGGTTGAATTCCAGTTTAATAATTGAAAGTATTGCTAAGGCATAGAATGGATGTTTGAATTTTAAAAAATTTAAAAAAAAATCTTTATTTTTTAAAAACTTAAAGCTAAGGTAAACCTTTAGATAGTACCATTTTTTATCTGCTTTTTAACTGAAGTAAGGGAATTGATTAATTCTTTCAAGGTGGGACAGTGGATTGTTCAGTCAGGAAAATATGTGGAATAAATTAGTTGTTTAATTTCAAATGTAAAATGTTATCACCCTTTTAAATGGAAAGGGACTGTTAATACAGTGATAACTTTTATACTCTGGAGACATAAATGATATGAGACATAGTGTGATGCTATGTAAAAATTATGAACTTGGTGTGATGGAAAACATGATCCATTGTCCCCATGAGTTTGGGAACTTTAGGACATGACAGTGGAAACTTTTCCTACTGCATTCATTGCATCATCTCCCACCCCCAGCAGAACAGGGCAGCAGCAAAAGTCAATAACACAACTGAATGCCAACATCAAATCTGCACATGAATGGGAGGTCCCCTGCCTATTCTGTGTCTTTCTTCACAGAGTTATTGACTTTCACATGGGGGTTTTCTCCAGACTCTTTAACTGGTTCCAATCCCTGCGTGGCAGAAGTTTTCCTGGTGCCAGCAGTATTAAGGAGCTCACAGGAGAGGACATGATGACAAATAACCTTTTCCAAAGCCTGGTTGCTATCACATTAATGACAGGACCAAATTGATTTGCCTTGTGGTTTTTGTTCTGTTTTTCTGGAGGAAGACAAAGAGGAAAACAGGATGGTGTAATCTGTAAGAAAGCTTAATTAAAGGCTTAATTCATTCACCCTACTGTCCCTACTTGGAAGTCAGGTGGCAACATCCATGTCCCATGAACGTAGAAGCTGACAGGGACAACTCTTCAAAAGCCAATTTACATGCAAACACCTAATAAAAAACTGAGATTCTTCTCAGAAGTTCTTTCCAGGCCATTCTCTGTTGCTGTTCTCATCTGTGCTGTTGGATAGAGCAGCATAAGATTTATTCCTGAGCAGCTCAGAGAGACTCCTTGGCACAGCTGAAGCTGTCTGCCCCTGCAACTCAGCATGCTGTGGAGAGCTTGGTTATATTTTTCATTTTTTTAGCCCACAGAATGTGCCTGTTGGATACCTTTGTCCCAAATCTGTGATGTTAAGTGGTGCTGTCTTGGTGGTTCAAGCATTACGTGTGTTCCACACCTATTTTAGTGGAAGTTCTCAGTCCTATGCAGAAATACATTCATCTGGTTTCATGTGGATATTTTACATAAATAATCCTGCCTCTAGAGAAATGCAGTTGCTCATCTCTTTAAATATAGATTTTTAAATAATAAAATATAGATTTGAAACAGATGGAAAATTTTAGTGGAATTCTGGCCATTGCAAGTGGTGAGGAATGTAAGACTGATGTGAAGCAAAGGGATTTTCTCCTCTGTTATGGTGGCCCCGTGTCCCTGGGGTGGGGAATTTGGCTTATGTGCTTGCTGAGTGCTACTTGCTTGGCAGCAATCCACTAAATCCTGGCAAATGGATCCTTGCAAAAATTGAGGGAAGGTATAAAAGCTGTTGTTATATTTTATATCCTGCTTCCACATTTTCATGTTGGTTCTGCCTGGGCAGAACAGAGAGAAGTGTTGTTACATGGAAAATAAATGGGATTTTCTGAACTGGAGTAAGAACTAGATGATATGGGATTGGAACTGAATGATCCTTAAGGATCATTTCAACCCAAACCATTCTAGGATTCTGTGAACTGCTCTTTTGTTTATTTGTTTGTTTTGTGTTGGATATCACCAGTTCCACTGTACTGTTTCCTGGGAAGTCTGTACTGTTCAAGAGATCTCTTGAAGGAAATGGGAATAAGGAGATTAACATGGTTATCTTCACTCTTAACAATAAATCCACAATCTGGGATTGACATATTGATAATAAGTGGAAGGTGATTTTACAGCTGTTTTTACCTGCAGGCATATATTTTAAACATAGTCCTTGGTTTCCTCTGGTGGAAATAAGTAAAACCAGCAGCATTTTAACTTCTTTTACCTATACACGTGGCTCAGTTTTTTGCCTAGAAGATGGTAACAAAAATATCTGAGTATGCTTATCATAGTAATTAAATATAACCCCGTGAGACAGTGATGTGGTTACATCTGAAAGCTCTCTGTGATTTTAATGATTTAAAAATCTCTGCAGATGTGATATCACGGTTCTTTTGGGCACAGAGAATG